TGTTATTTTCATTATTAGCATACAGTCATCAGGCCTACAGTCTGGTGACGACTTTATCCCTTGAACCTTCTAAGGCACTCCTGTGGAACTCAAGAAATGTTTATAGAGCAATACTAGGGTGTGTCAGTAAATGTTTAACAACTGGGCTGGGGAGCGGGTGTGGGGGAAATGTATGTTCACATATACTTTTAGGTTTAATATGCATTATTAATACTTTCTTAAGCCTAGACAATCAACAAAACAATAGATCAAGCCCAGATTTGTGCAGATTTCCAATTTCTGAGTTGCAAATACTACTCACACTGAAATTTTAACAATCAGCTCAGGAAAGCTGGCAAGAGCTAATTCCAACACATGCACACACATCTAATTCAATAAGCATCTATTGAATACCTGCTAGGTACCAGGCATTGTGCTATATTCTGGGCTTGCAAAGATAAAAATAAAAGTTTCTTCCCTCAAGGAGTTTACAAGGACATAACAAGTAAATATAAGTAAGACACATACAAAATAAATTCAAAATAGTTTTTCTTGGAGGGTGAGGTACTAGAAACTAATGGGATCAGCGATGGCCTTTGTAGGAAGTGCCACCTGAACCGTGATTTGATTCTATGAGGATGCTATGAAGCACAGATAAGGAGGAAGAGCATCCTATGCATATGAGACAGCTTGTGCCAAAGGCAAGGAGGAAGAGATATAGGATGTCTTTAACAGGGATCAAGAAGTGGGCCAGTCTGGCTGAAACAGACTTATGTCCCACAAGGTAATGTGAGATTAGTCTGGAAAAATAGTTCAGAGTCAGATATGAAGGGGTTTAAAAGCCAAACTACGGCAGGTAGGTGGTGAAGTGGATAGAGTGCAAGACCGAGAGTTCTGAGTTCAAATGTGACCTCAAACACTTACTAGCTGTGTGGCCTTGGGTAAGTCACTTAAATCCAGTTGCTTCAGTTTCTCATTTAGAGAAGGAAATGGCAAACCACTCCAGTATCTCTGCCAAGATCCCCGAAAGAGGTCACAAAGCATTAGACAGGACTGAAATCATTGAACAACAAAAATGCCAAATTAAAGAGTTTTTATTTTATCCTAAATGCAATAGGAATCCACTGAAGCTTCACTAGCAGAAGACTAGTGAAACCTGTGCTTTAGGACTATTGATCTGGCAGCTATGTGGAGGATGGATTGGAAAGAGGAAGACCCTGGAAGCTGGGAGACTAATGAGGAAGTTAATATCCAGGCAAAAGGTTATGAAGGCCTGAACCGCGGTAGAGGACCTGAGAGTAGAGAGGAGGATGGCTAGAAATATGATAAAAGTTGGAATGTGATAAGGCCAAAAGGGAAATTCAGAGTACTGTAAAACAATTTGAGGAAAGATCACTTCCAGCTAGGGGGAGCAGAGAAGTCTGTACTAGAGGAGGTCATGCCCTGAGTTGTACCTTGAGACTTCCTTTAAAGGTTTCAGTAGGTTCAGTAGGTACTTCATATTTCTTGAATTATTTTAGTTGAACAAGTAGAGAGGGAAGTGAAGAGCATACATTAATAGGACCACAGATTAAAAGCTGAGAGGGACTTTAGAGTCCATTGAGCCCAACTCCATTTTACAGATGAGGAAACTGAGGCACAAAGCTAAATGATTTGCCTAGGACCACACAGTGTCTGAGAAAATGCACTGAAGTTGGAGAATGCAGGACAGATGTGGGGGATACAACCAGTAGTCCAGTTTGGTTGTTCGTGTAAGGCAGTGGTTCTCAAACTTTTTTGGTCTCAGGACCACTCCACACTTTTTTTTCCCCAAAATATGTTTTCATTGATTTTGGGTTGTTTTTTTGTTTTGTTTTTGTCTCATCATTGTTTTCCCTAGTATTCCTCTCCTTCCCTGAGAACCATTCTATATAACAAATAGCATTTTTTAAAGACTAAGAGGAAAAAAATCAACATAACTGCTTGATTGATATATGTGCCATTTGCAACACTTGCAGACCTCCCACCTCTGCTATGTTGGTTATAGCTATAGATATTTACCATATTAGGAATTATAACATCTTAGTATTATTATGAAAATAGTTATGAGCCCTTGAAAGGATCTCAGGGATCTCCAGACTACACTTTGAGAACCATTACTGTGGAGGAATAAGATCAAATGAGGCTGTAAAATAGGTTGGAGGTCAAATCACTGAGGGACTTAAGTGGTTTGTATTATCTCCTATGGGTGCTAAAGAGTCACTGAGGGTTTTGAAAACTGACATGCCAGACAAATCTCTTATGCTAAGAGGAGGAACAAATGTTCTGGATCAAATTTCAGATGCAAAAGGAAGCCTTCCAAATTGGATAAAATGGGTAACTTCCATTAAAAAAAATCACTGCTTTTTATTTACTTGGTTCATTAAATTCTGACCCTATAGAGGACCAGAAAAGAATCATGATAAAATGGAGCAACTTGCTGGCTTCAGGAAACACAAGGAAAGTGGTGAAAGAAGTGACTTTATTCAGAGGGATGAATCAGAACCTGGGAGGGACAAACCAACGACCAAATACCGTACTTCCCAGACATCTTCCCAGACATAAAGGATCCAGGTGGTCTTAGAATGCTTGCCTGACAGGAGTAAGAAATAGAAGGAATGAGCTGACCTTATCGGATGCCCATTTTTGCCACACTACTCCCAACACAAGCTGAGCATACCTGTGTAATGTAAGAAAACTGTGCCAGGATGAAATTAAGATGGCAAACAAGTATTAAGAAGGGCCAATCCTTACCTTTATTTGTTGGAGTTCACTTAGGTAGTTAATTTCATGGTACTGTATCTTTCTCTCCCTCCCTCCCACCAGCCCCAACTCCTGAAGGAGAAATAGACTTCAACAGCCAGAATCACTGTACTTTTATTTTGTTATTCGTGATGCATTTGAAAAGCTCCTTCGTTTACTTATTTATCTATCTATTTATTTACTTAGTATTCAGCCAAGTCAGGCCATTGAATGCTTTTGTTATTCAGTTGTCTCTGACTCTTCATGACCCCATTTGGGATTTGCCTGGCAGATACTGGAGTGGTTTGCCATTTCCTTCTTCAGATCATTTTACTCATGAGGAAACAGAGACAAACAGGCTTAAGTGATTTGCCCAGAAGTCACATAACTAGTAAATGTCTGAGGACAAATTTGAATCCAGGAAGATGAGTCTTCCTAACTCCAGGTCTGGCACTTTATCTAACTTGCCACCTAGCTGCCCCCATTGAATGGTAATCAGACTCAATTTACTTCATGGGCTCAAATCACCTCCTAGTTTTCTCCAGAATTGACCCCAGCAGAAACAAATTACACGTCCCTTTCCCCATGAACTAGCATTAGAACCACTCTGGACCTCAATTTCCTCATTTGTAAAATAAGGAGGTTGATATTGGGCGACCTGTAAAATTCCCCTTCAATTCTCTAGGTCCAGGGTCTTTGTGAGAGGTGGTATTTTCTAGTTTGTTTTTCCTATAATAGCCAGGCTGCAAGCAATCATCTGGTTAGAAATGCAAGCCACTTGACCTTAAAAGATTGGAATTTTTAAAGTGGAGTGAATTCTTCTACCTCTTTAGAAAGGCAGCTTTTGAACACAGAAAGACTTTGAAAGAACATGCAAAAAAGGGCTTTGAATGAAACTTGTGCTTAAACTCCCCAAGTCTCTAAAACCTCAAGGAAATGTAAGGCTACTTATTTTTAACCCCTGATCCTGAGTAAGGTACCACTGTGACTGGGAGAGCAAGAGAGGAAACCTAAGACTTGATCTGAAGAGGAAGGTGAAGTGTGGGTTCTCAGTTTTCTTCCTTCACCTGGAATATATTGGGCACCTATTTCGTACAAAGCTGGATGATACATACGAAAGATATGAAGATTCAGTCCTTAACCCTAAATAATAATACTAGATTCATATAGTGCTTTAATCTCATTGGATACTCACAACAACCAGGTTTTACCTATACTACATGTATTTTTAACCTCAATTTACTGATATGGAAATGGAGGTTTAGAGAAAGTAGTAATAACTAACATTTATATAGGGCAAGTGCTTTATAATTATCTCATTTGATCCTCACAATCTGGGAGGTAGGTGCTATTATGATTCCTATTTTAGAGATGAGAAAGCTGAGGCAAACAGGGGAAAGTGACTTAGCCAGGATCACACAATTTGAGGCCACACTTGAACTTGGGTATTCCCAACTCCAGGCATCACGCTATCTATAGCACTACCTAGCTACCTCATAAGTAAAGTGATTTGTTCATGGTCGCAACTACTTAGTGGTAAAGAATTTAAACCTGACATGGATTCTAACACTTTTCCCCTACACCAGATTGCCTCTAAATTAATTTTATAATCTACCTTCAGAAAGAGAAGGGAAAGAACAGTCACATCACGCTAGTGGCCAGATAACACATCTGTTACCCATCCATTAAGTAAAAGTTCAATAATCTGGTGGTAGGCTTAATTAGCAAAAATTCTGAATTACAAACTTTTTTTTTTAAGAAATGAATTTTTATTACTTTCAAGGACATACAGCAACTCAAACCAGACCAACAAAAGTGTTTTCCAGTAGTATTCCTCAGAGAACATTCTTCAATGAATAGATAAAAATGCTTTGTAATTAGCATATCACTTATTTCCATGGAGATGGATACTACTAAAGTGCTTCAGAATAAATGATAAGTTTGTTCTTATCCATATTTTTAAAACATTTGCCCTGAAATTTTATTTGTACTATTAATTTGCAGTCTCTGAAGACTGGATAAGCAAAGATAAATTTCAGTGTGACCATGTGTGAACAAACTGAATTAGCTGAGTATGAAAAAACAAGTCTTTCCCTTAGTTGAAATACAGCTCTCAATGGACTATAAATGGAACTAGGGAGCTGAAAATTACATTTTTATCAGTGGAGATGTATTTTATTTATTTATTTATTCTTTTTGGTTAGGCGCTCATGGTTAAGTGACTTGCCCAGGGTCATGCAGATAATAAGTGTCAAGTGTCTGAGGCTGCATTTGAACTCAGGTCCTCCTGACTCCAAGGCCTGAGATCTATCCACTGCACCACCTAGCTGCCCCATCAGTGGAGATTTAGACAAAAAGTAATAATGAAGAAAATCTGGTGGATGTTGAGGGCCAGGAACGGTATACTATACAAAGTCTTCCATGGTGTGGTGTGTTTGTTTTTACATTAAGATGCTGAATAAATTTCCACTAGCATAAAAAAAAAAAAAACTCAAACATGCAACAATATCACTTTCTCAAATGTTTGCTTTATAACTATCCTGCTCCCCACTGAGACTTGGAGGTAGAAATATGTTGCATACAATGTTATCAAACCTTATTTAAAAGCTTGCTGAAGGAAATATAATTCAAAATAGTATATATATATATATATATTTTTTTTTTTGCTGTGTAATAGTAATAGTCAAAACATTAAAAAATAAAGGCATCTGAGCTGAATGAATAGAGAGAAATCCCCAGAAAGCTCCCCAAGGTAGAAAGAGCTTAGGTGAACTACATTCCCTCCTAACTTGGGCACCCATGGTATAAATCCATAGGAAGAGACTTTCTAACTTTATTCCAAACATTTCCAAACTTAATAGTTTCCCCAATCAGTTTGCATTCCATGAAAAGCAAACCTGAAGATTCCTCCTACCCCCAAGAAATGAAAGAGTCTTCAGAGTCATGAAACCTAAGGTTTCCTCCAGTTAGCCAAGTTTGTTTTGGTGACCAAAATACTAACATTGTTCACCGAAGACAGAAAGGAGTGAATACAGCTCAACATATATAGCTTCTCCCCTTGGAAAGGAAGTAGCTCATTCAATTCTAACAGTTAAAAAATATATTTTAAAAAAAGGTTATGTTCATTGCTAATACAACCTCAAAAAGTAGTCTAAGTTCACGACATTACTTCCTTTTATCCCTTCCCTCCCTCACCCCAACAAATATACTGCCTTCACAGGCATGTATATATGTTTCTTTGCTTGTAGCAAAGGGAAATCCAAAAGTCCAAATGTGAAATACAAAAGTTAGTTTCATAACACATTAAAAATGCATTTTTAGGGACAAATGAAGAAAGTCTTTTTCTCCTTTCTAGCTTTAAAAAAAAAAATTCCCCCTCCCCCAATATGTACAAGGATGATGGTGAAAGCTTCATTGGGCTATTCCTCCATCAATGCCCATGCTTCTTCAGCCTTCTCATAGTACTTATTGGCTAGCCGGCCCTTCATGGCTTCCATGGCGGCCTCTGCAGCTGCAGTATAGAGGTCACCTTAAAGAAAAAGCAACACAAGAAAGGAATGAAATTTATCCCCTGAACGGTTACAAAGACAACTCTGGGCAAAGAAAACCAGGTTCAATTTGCCAAGGGCCAAACTTGCTGTGGAAAAGATTTAGGTCAGACTTACCAGAAAAAGATTTCTCTTGGGGCAGCTAAGTGGCATAGTAGATAAAGCACCAGCCTGGGAAATCAGGAGGACCCAAGTTCAAATGTATCCTCAGACATTTGACACTTAGTAGCTGTGTGACCTTCGTCAAGTCACATAACTTATATTGGCCTCATTTCCTCATCAGTACAATGGGGATGACACTAGTACCTAACTCACAGGGCTTTTGTGAGGTTCAAATAATATTTGTAAAGTGCTTAGCACAGCACTTCAATAAATAGTAAATTTGCAAAGTGCTTAGCATAGCACTTTAATAAATAGCTTTTAATAAATGCTTCCCTTTTTCTTGAAAAGCTCCATTAAGTCACACAACTATTCCCTCCTGATTTCTATTCTATGTAAGAATGGCTCAAGCACATTGTAGAGGTAAAGTTCTAACTCTACAATTCTAGGACGTGCTTGATGACTTTGACATAGTAAATTGGGGGAAAAATCTTTGCAGCAAGTTTCTCTGATGAAGAATTCATTTCTAAGATATATAGGAAGCTGATTCAAATTCATAAGAAAAGAACCATTCACCAATTGATAAGCAGTCTAAGGATATAAACAGGCAGTTTTAGAGTAAGAAATACAAGCTATAAATAGTCACATGAAAAAATGCTCTAAATTACTAATAATTAGAGAAAAGCAAATTAAAACAACTCTGAGGTACCATCTCACACTCATCAGATTGGCAAGGTTGACAAAAAAGGAAAATGATAAATGCTGGAGGACTGTGGGAAAATAGGCACATTAATGGAGCTGTTAAATGATCTAGCTATTTTGGAAAGCAACTTGGAACTATGTCCAAATTGTTATTAATTAAACTGTGCGTACCCGTTGACCCAGTGATATCTTTACCAGGTCTATGCCACAAGGAAATCAAGAAAGAGGAAAAAGACCCAGAGAAACAAAAATATTTATAGCAGCTCTTTCCACGGTGGCAAAGAATTGGAAACTGGGAGGGTGCCCATCAGTTGGGGGATGGCTGAACAAGTTTATGGTATATGTATGTGATGAAATACTATTGTGCTATAAGAAATGATGAAGGGGACAATTTCAGAAAAGCCTCGGAAGATTTGTATGAATTGATGCAAAGTGAAGCGAACAATTTATATGATAACAATAATCCTGTAAGGACAAACAACTTTAAAGATTTAGGAACATAATGGAACCAATCAGAGTTTCAGGGTACCCATGATAAAACATCTTATTCAACTCAAGATAAGGATGATGGATTCAGAGTGCAGACTGAAGCATATATTTTGGACATGGCTATTGCAGGAATTTATTTTGTTTGACTATTGGGTTTTGTTTTTCCTGCTTTCTTGATGAGTAGGGGGAGGCCAAAGGGTCAGAATTTGGAACTGGAAATAAAATAAAATTGAATTAAAACAGAAAACAAATTTTAAAAAAAGCATAGTTACTCAAAACTACATATTAGCTATGTTAGAAAATGTATATCTCCTTTGTGATTCTATTGAATTTGTCAGAAAGGAGATGGTTGCTTTGTCATTAGTTGTCTGGACTTGTCCCACTGTCTTTTCATTCACCCCTGAATTTGTAGAATTGGTTTTCCTTTGGTAGAACTGCAGACAATGGGGACATGGCTCTGCTTTCTTCATTTGATGTTTATGTTTTTTCACATTTAAAACTCCTTTTACATGTCATTCCTAGTTCATGTTATTTGTAAAAATATTTTGCACATAGTAAGTACTGTGTGCGTATGCATGTATACACACTGTATATGCACACATATACATATGTGTATGTATAAATATAAATGGAATATATATTTCAACACTATTTATTAAAGAATTCTTTTTCTAGTTTTTATTTTCTATGGGTTTGTAGACTACAAATACTTAATATATAATTGCTTCTATTTCTGGTATCATTATTCTATTTTGTTAGTCTTATTTTTCTGTTTTTTGCCCAATCCCAGACAGTTTGGATGATAACCACTTTATTACTGTTTTAGAGACTGAGACAGCAAGTATGTTTTCTCTACTCAATATTCCTGCCAGTTTGCTTTCCCATAGAAATTTCTTTAAAAATCTCACCAATTGATGGATGTTATGTTAAATCTGTTAATTTATTTGGAGAGGATTGTCATTTGCTGATTAGACTCACCCATAAACACTTAATGTCCCTTAAATTATTTAGTTTTTCTTCCATTTCTGAAGATCCTGGTTTAGAGTTTCGTTTAGGAAGACTGTATTAAGAGCCAAGTATGTAAATTCTCAAATATTTAATTTTTTTAATGTGTGAATGGGGTTTCTTGTTTTTATAACATTTTCTTGGTCTTTATTGGCAGTATATGAGAATGCAAATAAGTATTTACTAAACGAAGGAATGAGACCACAGCTTCTTGGAACGAAAAGGTTGGGTAAGAAGATTAACAGAAATAATTTTTTTTCTACGTCTTTGACTTGTTTTTCATCTTTTACTTTTTCTAGACTGTGGGGGTTTTATAGCACAGTTTTAGAAACTATAAAGCTATAAACAATAAGAATTGTTCTATGAGCACATCCTTTGAACACTACATATGAATGAGTACAATTTTCTGCATATCAATAAAAGTGCTGTACCAGTGTTAGGCTGGAGATATTCAGTTGGAGTTTAGTAAGTAGATATTTATTTAGTACTCAAAAAAATTTGTGAATTTGTTTTTGTATTTATAAAATTTGTACACAGAAAAAGTTCCTTAAATTAAGAAAAAATTTACTATGTTTTTGTTTATTCCTCTAACTTTTCCTAATGACCAACCAAAAAAGGGTAAGACCCTTCCTTTTCCCTGGCAGTTCTTCCAATGATAAGTAGTTTTTACACAATTGTACCATAAGTTTCAATATACAAGTTTTTAAGTATACAAATAAAATAACATTTTTCAAAGTGAAAAAGATTGCCACATAGTTCAAAAACTGTGTTTATAACCTGCAACCTAAACTCATTTATTTTATCTGATCTTTCATGTTGAGGGCATTGGATTTTCTAACTATTCTATCAAGTTATCTACAAAAGAAAACTGATATTTTGACCTCTTCATTCCCATGTTAATGCTCCTGATTTCTTTTACTTGTCTTATTACTAGGATTTTTCATAGAGATAGAGAATGGATTTGTGATTTGTACTGATAATAATAATGGTAGCAGCTAATACTTACACAGCACTTATTATGTGCCAAATATTTTACAAATATTATCTTATTTGAGCCTCACCACAACCCTGGGAGGTAGGTGCTATTATTATCCCCATTTTACAGATAAGGAAACTGAGGCAACCAGAGGTTAAGTCCAGGGTCACACAGCTAGGAGGTATCTAAAGCTGGATTTGAACTGAGGTCTTTCTGACTCTAGTCCCAGAGCTTTATTCACTATGGCACCTAGTTCCTTCTCAGTATAGAAACACCTAGATAAGGAAATCCCTCTACAGGCTGGCACCTTCTCTTCATCATACAGTCTTAGAAAATTGCCTATGGCACTAAGAGGTTAAGTTTCTTGGCTATGATCACACAGACAGCATTTCTCATACTATGTCATTTATTAATGACGAAAGTGAAGACTCTTAATTTAGTGAACACCCTTGTTTTTGAGCCTGTTTTTGTGGGAATGCTTCTCTCATTCCACTGCATATTATTTTAACTCTTCGTTTTCTCTGATGGTGGTGTTCGAAGTTCTGGAGTAGTTGTAAGAAAAGCCTGCAAAAGTATGCAAGAGGTTCTGAAAATCCTATCTATCATTCCTCTTTTATGAAGCTTCTTAAGACTATTTCAACCAAAGGGCAGCTAGGTGGCGCAGTGGATAGAGCATTGGCCCTGGAGGCAGAAGGACCTGAGTTCAAATCTGACCTGAGACATATTTCCTAGCTGTGTGACTCTGGGCAAGTCACTTAACCCCAATTGCCTCACTTAAAAAAAAAAGAGAGAGAGAGAGAAGAGATTACTTCAGCCAAGATGGATTTTCCCCCCTTTATGGCTTCAACAATAACTTCTCTCTTGCTTTCTTTTTTTTTTTTTTTTGGTTGTCTTCTCAACAGAATTATAAACTCCCTGAAAGCAAGGACCTTATCTTATACTTAGTTTAAAGCTACCACAAAATTAAGATGGTATTCTTTATTCCTGTTTACTTCATAAATTGTACATACCATACGTATTGACCTTACAGCTATATTGGTCAAACGTATTGTTTTATAGGTTAGAAAACTGAGACCTGCAGAGGTTATGACGGAGGGAGTATGGCATTGAACTAAAAAATAAAAATCTCCCTGTGTCTCTGTCTCTCTCTCCTTAAAAGAGCCTGAGCCCAGACATGGGCCTCTGGCTACTTCTGTTTTGTATTCCATTCCAGAGCTTAGGTGACCAAATAGCAAACCTTAGCTAGATACATCTAGCCTTGGAGGAAACCTTATGAATTCAAGAGGTCTAAAGCTTCTGGATCCCTCAGTCAAAGCTGACTGCCAGCATGAATGTGATACACCTCCACCCTTGAAGATGACCACCAGCTAGAGGATGAGCTCAGGCTCTGGCCTGGTTATTCAGATGAGACAGACCTAGAGGGAATTGTTTGGACAGTACAAAACCAAGTAGAAATTTGAAATGCTAATTTAACAATTCACTGAACTGCTTCATGTTTTGATGTCCTGGGAGAGTGTAACTCTAGTCATAAACTACTGTTGTTTGTTTTTCTTTGATAATATGTGTTTGTGAGTCTCCTATGTTAAACATTTCTTTTGTGTGAAGAAGATAAATTGCTACTTAAAAAAAAATTAACATGGTGCTAGGCACCGAGTAAAGTTTCAAGAAAGATTGATGAATTGACCACCAATAAGGCCACAGCTTCCCCTCCACCCATTCCACCCAACAAGGGAAATAGCCATTCTACCTGATCTTTTTGGGTCCTTCTCTAGCTGGAAGCCACCTGTAAACAGCATTTCAGCCTCTCTTGCCAGGAGGGTGTGCCGGGGTTCATCCTGTATCCCGTCATATTCACCTCCTTCATCATAATCTGTTGTATTTAATGCAGTATCATACCAGTGTAGGGCCTCCTTCCAGTTCTGTGTTCTGGGGAATAGGGCAGAAACAAAAGAGGCATGTTTATCAAAGCAGCAGAAGGGGAAACTATATAACAGAGAAGATACAGGTGGATCCATGACGGGAACAGGCTGCAAGGGGATCACAATGTAGTATCCTAGATCAACTGTTCGCAAACTTTTTGGTTTCAGGACCTCTTTACGGTCTTAAAATTTTTGAGGACTCTTCCAAAGTACTTTTGTTTATATGGGTTATATCTATCAACATTTACTATATCAGAAATTAAAACATAAAAATTTTTAAATATTTATTACATTTATTTAAATATAATAAATCTATTACATATTATCATAAATGAAATTTTACGAAAAAACCTCCCATTTTCTAAAACAAATAAATTTAGTGAGAAGAGTAGCAATTTTTACATTTTTTCTTGTTGCAAATCTCTAATGTCTGGCTTAATAGAAGACAAATGGATTCTCATTTCTGTTGCATTCAATTGTTACGACTATGTTATTTTGGTTGAAGTATATGGAAAAAATCTGGACTCATAAAAATATGTGATTGGAAAAGGAAGGAGTATCTTAATAGGCAAATAACCTTAGTATTATTACAAAAATAGTTTTGACCTTGTGGACCTAGGGTCTTGGGGACCTCCAGGAGTCTTTATACCCCGCTTTAAAAACCTCTGGGCAAAAGCAATGGGCTGAACCTATGTAGATGAAATTCAAAATGGAGAACTGTAAAATATCGCACTTGGGTTGACAAAACCAACTTCAGAAGTACAACATAGGGAGCTGGAGAGAGACAGCTGTTCTAAAAAAGATCTGAAAAAAGTCTCAGTGGACTGTGAGCTTAATATGAGTCAGCAGCATGATCTAGTAGCCAAAAGATCTAATGCAAATTTGGGCTGTGTTAAGACAGGTGCAGCTTCCAGGATTAGGGATGTGTTAATCATCTTGTACTTTGTCTCTGTCCAATCTCTTCTGGAGTACTGTGTTCCATTCTGGGCACCAAGGTTTAAGAAAGACACTGATAAACTGGAGAGTGACCAGAAGTGGTCAACCAGGATAATGTCATGGCCTTGAGGATATGATCTGAGAATCAGCTGAAGGAATGAGGAATGTTTAATCTGGAGAAGGAAAAACTCAAGGGAGAACATGAAGCTGTCTTGACAAGTACTGGCAGGGATGGCATATGGAGAAGGGATTAGACTCATCTTGATTGGCCTCAGAGAGCAGCACCAGGAGCCATGGGTGAAATTTGAGCCAGTGTCAAGAAAAACTTTCTAACTATTTGAGCTGTTCAAAAATGGCATAGGATTCCTCAGGAGGTAGAGGCTTTGTCTTTCTTGAAGGGAGGTCTTCAAGCAGAGACTGGATGAGTACTTGTGAGGTATGTTATACAGAGGATTCCTTTCACCTCCAGATAACCTAGATAGCAGGAAATGATTTTGCATGTGATTTATCTTACCTGGCTTGCCACTACCAGTATCAAGGGGCAGTGATGGGCACCCATGGATCACTCCATTAAAGTTCATCTATACTATGTTTCTCATATAGGCTGGACAGTGTTACCAGTCAGTCAGTCAGTCAATAAACATTTATTAAAAGTCTATTATGTGCCAGGCAGTGTGCTAAGTGCTGGGGATATAAAAAGAGGCAAAAGACAGTCCCTACCTTCAAGGAGCTATACCCTTTTCCTCACTCTATACTTCTCAAACAAGCGAGGACAGGAGGGTTCCTCCAACTTGTGCAAAGAACAGCTGCTACTTTAAAGGCAGGTAAGACTCCCCTGGTTCCTCTGGTACTCCATTTGTCCTGACTTCTTGGGACACTTGCTGCTGGTTTTTAGAGACAGCAAGGGGCAGTCACACTCCTTCCTGCTAGAGACTTAGATAGGAAACCTGGTCACTTAACTCAAGTATTTTCCAGTCTGCACTCCTTTCTCCACTCTACTCAACAATCTAGCTTTCAACCTCATCACTCACCAAAACTGTGTCTCCAAAGTTACCAAGCCTCCTCTCCTCCTGGATGCTGTTTTTACTCTTGGGTTTTCATGACATCACTTTCTCTTGACTCCCCTCCAACTGGGTCTGACTGATCCTTCTCAGTCTCCTATGCTGGATCATCATCTATATCATGCCTCCTAATCATGGATAGCGGGGCAGCTAGGTGGTAAAGTGGATAAGAGTTCCAGGCCTGGAATCAGTAAGACTCAGCCTTCCGAGTTCAAATCCAGCCTCAGACACTTCCTAGCTGTGTGACCCTGGGGAAGTCACTTAACCCTATTTGCCTCAGTATCCTTATCTGTAAGATGAGCTGGAGAAGGAAATGACAAACCATTCTAGTATCTTTGCCAATGATGGGATGTTTGGGTGCCTGTGCTTGGACCCCATTTCTCTCTTGCCTCAGAAACACTATCTCTGGCAGTTTCTCCCCAGCCCAAGGACACTGTGCCTAGCAATTATTCACAAGTGGGCCCCAGCAAGACCCTTATCTCTTTCTCTGGTGCAGTTACAAAGAGCAGCTGAAGGAATTATTAGTTTGAACTGACTTTGCACTGGGTCATAAAGATATTCTTACCCACTGGACTATCTATACTACCGCCTTACCTCATTATCTACATCTTGGACTTCTCATTATCTGTATTCTAGACTTAAGACATATGTATACTCCCTATATCTATCTTGTTAAACAAGATATTGACTGGTGGCAGACTGGACAACTCTCAGTTATACCTGAACTCTAGTTAACTTAGTGCTGTAGCAGGCCTAAAACCACACCTCCATGTGGTCCCCATTGTGGGCTTTTCCCAGTGAACTCTGGATAAAACGCCTGTGCAGTAGGTAGTAGAAGTGCATGTTCCTTTAAGAACTGACCAATCCTTAACCATTCCCACCCTGAATCACCTAGTTAGCATATTTGACACATGTTTTATTATATTTTATCCTATATAAACTTTAACTGCACCCCGAGGTTGAAGGTTCCTTAAGAATCCTTGCCCACTGAAAAGCATAACAATACATCTTTGCCACCTTGACTTAAAGAATGCTTGAGTCTATCAATTCATTCCAGACGACCCCATCCTGTATTCCAGTCTTTGAGGGGTCTCAACCTCTCAAATCACAACACCAAGAAAACTCCAAATGGTGTCATGGAGAGTCGCACATGGCTGAAAAACTACTAAACACACAACTGTGGATAGATCCCAAGGCCCTGTCTTGAGCTCTCTTTTCTTTCTATAGTCTTGGTTAATCATCAGCGCCCATGGATGTAACTTTCATTATTAAGCAGATGGATCCCAGGTCCCATATATTTAATCAGTCGCCAAATCTTCCCTTTTCTGTCCCTACAACATGTCTCCCATCCTACATCTTCTCATTGCTCCCACAGACACCACTTTAGTAGAGATCTCTCACTAGCACTATTGCAATAATAGCATCTTAATTGGTCTCCTTGACTCAAGTCTCTCCACACCCCAATCCATCCTTATGCGGCACCACATTCAATACACAATAGGACTTATTCAATGCTGAAGCTGAGGACCTGTGTATAAGTGCAGCTCTGACCATGTCACTTCCCTCTGCACTGCCTTCCTATTGACTCTAGGACAACAGCTGAAGGGTTCCCTAAAGGGACCAATTAAGATGCTATTAATTGAAGGAACTTGCCAGCCTTACTGCACATTACTCCCCAGCCTGTACATTACCATCTAGCCAAACTCCACTCTGTCCCTCTTCCTCTCCCTGACTCCTGTGCCTTCTCCAGGCCAACTCCCAGGACTGAAATTCATTCCTTCTAGAGCAGAGGTGTCAAACTGAATGTAGCCTGAACCAAATTAAAAAGTAATTGAGAAATATTTAGCAAAATACATAAAAATGCAATACAATATAACTAATGTTAATTTGTGGTTTTCTAGGTCAATATGCCTCCTTGAGGGATCCTTTTCTATTTGAATTCGACACTACAGTTTTAGAGTTTGCCTTTCCTGATTCCCACCTGCTGGTGCCTTCCCTTCCCAATTACTTTGTACTTATTATGTACATAATTATATATTCTCCCCATAGAATATAAGCTCCCTGGAGGCAGACACAGTGTCTTATTTTGCTTTTGTATCCCTGGCACCCAGTACAAAGCCTGAATGACTGACTATCTCTCATAGTGGGCAAAAGAAGCAGCTTAGCCTAGGTTTGGTGGTAGAACAGACTACACTTCACTGTCACCTCTAGACCTCAAGATCCTCCAGTGGGGCCTTTTGGGGAAAGAAGGTTGATCCATTAAACTGGAGCATCAAAAGCCCATTTCCTCGATTCCATTCCTTATAAGGGAAACAAATGCTCCTAATCTAATTCCTTATCCTAATTAGCACTGGAAAAAGAGGTGACTATCTCTCTTACTTGATTGGATTAATGATTTCCTCCTTAGGGCTGACTCGAAGTGTGAGAAATTTTAGCCCCAAAAGGAATTTAGCCAAGATCATTCTGGAAGAGATAAGAGGAAGCCAGGTGTTAAGCAGACAGAATGGCTTCTCTGGTCTTCCTGAATGCCTTGCACTCCAACAGAAAGGTGAAACAGTTGTCCCCTTGGCTTCACCCCCAGTGAATGTCTGCTTCACCATTAAAAACAAAACAAAACAAAACCAAAAACCCACACCTACAAATGTGGTTTATGAGCTAATTAAGAGCTTTAACAACTGCTTTATAAACCACTCTTCACCTAGTCTCTCAAGTGTGGGAAACCAGAGCCAAGGGGCCTGCAACTTGAGCTCATGTCACCTTGGGAAAGTAATTTTTACCTTTCTGCTTTTTCCATCTCAGAATTGAGAGGTGTGGACTAGAGTATTTTTGGCTCTGATATTCTAATGTTCTCTTTGAATGCTAGCATATCAATTCCATCTCCTGTCTCCAAGTGTTTTGACTAGCTGTCTGTTCCCCAGCCTGGAAGGAATGCTCTCTCTCCTTATCTTTGCCTCCTGGGTTTCTCCAAGTTTCAGCTAAATTTCTACTTTCTACAAGAAGCCATTCCCAATTTTCCTTAATTTTAATTTCTACTCCCCATTTTATCCTGAACATATCTTGTTTGTACATAGTTGTTTGCATGGTCTCCTCCATGGTCCCTGAGAAGAGGGACACCCCCCCCTTTTTTTTTGGTATTCCCAATGCTTAGCACAGTGCCTGACATATAGTAGATGCTCAATAAATGCCAGCTGACTTACTGACCCTATCATAACACTGCATCTCCAAAACTCAGCCATCTCCTACCATTAATAAGTGACCAATCTTCCAAGATGTCTATGAACTGATACAAAGAGAATAAATGAAATCAGTAAAACAAGATACACAATGACTGCAACAATGTAAATGAAAAGAATAACAACAAAAAAAAGAAATAATGTATAATTTTATAAGTCAAGCTTGGCCCTATAGAAGAGCTGAGAAAATGAACCTCACTTTCTTTGAAGAGGTGTATCATGGTACACCACAGGTACAGAATACTGCAAATACTGTTAAGAATATTGATGGATCAATTGGTTTTGCGGAATTTTTTTTCTATCTTCTTTTTATTCTTTGTAACAAGGGATGGCTTGATAGGAGAGGGGCATATATAGAAATGAAAGTTATGTAAAAATGAAAGGTACTTGTAAAAAAAAAGTTTTAACAAATGCAAATCTACCCATGTCCCCCATCAGGAATGTTCTGCCTTTAAGTCCTCACTGTGCGTCATTATTTGGGATCCAGGATACTGTGGACTTTGCACTGCTTTTTTTTACCTGATCTTGGAGACTCATACTTGAAAATCTCTTTTTATTTGTTTATTTTTTTAGGCAACTGGGGTTAAGTGACTTGCCTAGGGTCACAAAGCTAGTTAAGTGTCAAGTGTTTGGTCTGTGGCCAAATTTGAACTCAGGTCCTCCTGACTTCACTCCTGCTCTATCCACTGAGGCACCTGGCTGCCCCAAAAATCTCTTTTTAAAAGTTTAACTGATGTCTTTAAAACAATATTACTGTTGCTTCCCCCTATACTGATTTCCCTGCCAATTAGAACCCTCCTTTGTTCTAAGAAAATCACTTAAGCAAATAGGACAAATTAACCACATCTGACAGCATGAATCTTAATCTGCACCTATAGTCCATCACCCATATACCAAAAGTAGGGACAACTTTTTGTAAAGATGCCAAAATAAATGAAGCCACTCAAGACCCTGTTAACTGTATACATTATTCTGCCCATACATCATGTTAACAAGCACTCAGCATAACTTATAAGGATTTTAGTGGCAACTAAACACATTTTACTTGGAATACAGTTGATTCTTTCCATTTAAATTATATTATGGGGACAGCTAGGTGGTACAGCGGATAGAGCACTGGCTCTGCAGTCAGGGGGACCTGAGTTCAAATCAGACCTCAGACACTTACTAGCTGTGCGACCCTGGGCAAGTCACTTAACCCCAACTGCCTCCCCCGCTAAAAAAATTTTTTTAAAATTACATGATGTTTCACTATCATTTATCTGGAGTTAAGATTGGTCAATGTATTGATCTGAGTTCTAAGGTCTTTTAGTAGAAACAAGTTACTCATCCCACAATACATCCACCCCCCAAGGCATTCAAATGGAGCTATACTATAACTTTCCTGCCCACTTTATCTCAGTAGAGAGTAAAGCAAAGGTAAAGAGGCCAAGGCTATGATTTCATTCCCTTCGTGTCTTTTTGTTTTGTTCCTTGGTTACAGATGCTGGTGACAGGGATTGGGGGGGGTGTCTTCCAGTAAACACTTAACAACAGGATGGAGGAGGGAGAGAGGGGAAGTAATATAGCCATGATACACTTTTTTTTTTTAGGCATTTGGGGTTAAGTGACTTGCCCAAGGTCACACAGCTAGTATGTGGCAAGTGTTCGGTCTGAGGCCGGATTTGAACTCAGGTCTTCCTGACTTCAGGGCCGGTGCTCTATCCACTGCGCTACCTAGCTGCCTGCTTGATACACTTTTAAGTTTAATCTGCACTAGTAATATTTATTGATCACTTTCTCAAGTCTATACAATCAACAATACAATAAACCAAGCCCTGATTTGTAGTTTTTACTGATTTCCAAGGTATAAATCCTCACACTGAATATTTAATCATTGGCCTTTGAGATTGAGTATGAGTTGGCTTCAATATGCCCTGGTGTGTGTGTGTGTAGCTACAATACATATAAATATATAATTTATGTATATATACATATACATATTGTCCCTTAAACCCTATGCTTTTCATAACTGCACATCCTTGGGCAGGAGGAGGAATAGGCAAGAGAGAATATATGTATCAATGCAAATCCATCAACCATTACTAGAAATATAACTTTGGAATGTCTGCTTGGGTGATGGGAGATCAAAACCATCAAAAACAAGTTCCGTCAAGTCGATCACAACTTCATGAAATCTAGGTGCATTACAAGAGCAATGAACATACATGTGGAGCCCAAAGCTTTCACAATTCATACAGAAGTTTGCATTTTTGTAACAGCAGGAGAAAGGAAGGAGAAGATCTCCACTTAAAGGGGCACAGCATGGGAGGGGGAAAGGTGCAGTAAAGGTGGGAAAAGGACAAAACTCTTCCTGAAGGGGAGGAGCAAGGCAACAGCAAAAGCCTCATTCTTTTCCCTTGGGAACTGCTACACTATGGAGACATGATGGTCTGCTTATCTACAGGTTGGAGCAGCACAAGCAGTTTCTCAGCCTAGTGTAGACTGACTGGCACCTGTCTTGATACATGGGGAGTCCACTTTGGGATGCAAAACAACAATTATATCAGCTGTGGGGGAGGAGCTTCATCCTTGACACATTCAGGGCCTCCTGCATACTCTGCATCCTGTGTTTATTGAAAATATGGCAACTCAAAAAGATAAGTTCAGGGGACCCCTTAACATTCTTTAGTGACCATACACAGTTCCCTGGCTCCACTGTCACAAACAGGGGATCCCATTGCCTTCAAAGGAGAATTCTCTCAGTTCCTTGAAAAAAGAGGGCAAGTAGTCCACAGACAATTAACTGCAAATTCAGAACTAGAATCTAGGTCTTCTGATTCTCAGGTCAGTGTTTTTCTATTTACAAATTTTTATTTATTTGGAACTTAGTAAACACCAAATAATACAGGTATTTCCATATACATAGAACAGAAGAAGTAGATTGCATGTGAAATTATGGATCTCTGTTATATATAGTTTGCTTTTCTTTCTAAAATATATACCTATATAATAAATTCAACATGTAACTTTTAAAGCTGTCTTGTGATTTAAAGCTGTATGTGATTCTTTCTGCCTTTCTTTCTGTATATTTAACAATGACTCTTTTTTCTTTCTTTTCTTTCCTTTCCTTTTTTTTTTTTTTGGATGTCCTTTCCTTCACCCCACCCCTCATCCTCCTCCACTGGAAAAAAAAAGAATTAAGTACTTATAACAAATATGAATAATTAAACAAAATAAATCCCCACACTGCAGGACAGGATTCTTTGAAGTGTATTGTGATGCTTCAGGATCTGAAACCACACCATTCTACATTTTCCCTAAAGAGGCAGTATGGTTCAGTGGACTGAATACCAGACTTGGGAGTCAGAAGATCTGGGTTTCAGTTTTGGCACCGAAACTAGCCTCCTAAGACTAAAGAAGGCCCAATTCCTTTGAGTCCCCATTTCCTTTTATGTACAGGGATAGGGACTGCATCTGTGATTCTATTGGGATAGGGTATTCCAGATCAGGAAACTCCCTCCGTCAATGCAGGGTAGCACCTTCTCTGTAACTTATAGCCTTAGAGTTGCCCAGGACACTGGGGAGGTAGAAGGGGGGTGCCTAAAGTCAACAGATGGCATGTGTCAAATGCTGCACTTGAACCCAGATCTTTCTGGTTCTAAAGGCCGGCTCTCTCTCCATGCACATAAAATGGGGATGATGTTAACTGAACAACTTATCTTGGAGGATTTGTAAGAAGAAAAGTATAAGTTGGATATAAATGCAAGTTGTTATTATTACCTGTCGGAGCTGAGGTTTAGGCCTGTGTCATAAGCTCTTGCCACAAGGATCATAGAATGCCTGTCACCTGCTTCTGCAGCCTTCAGTAAATAATCAAATCCTTTTGTTCTATTCTCCTCCGACTCCTATCGAACACAACCAAAAATATTATTTATGTATACATATATCATTATGATGTGTCTGTCTTTCTCTTTTTTCCTTCTTTCTTTCTAACATGTTTTAAGAAGGAAACTCTGAGAATTTTACAGATCAAACTTTTTCTTTTTTAATGAAATTCAATAAACATTTTTAGCCATTCCAAGCACTGCACCTGGGAGAAGGGAAGACTTGACTTTGAATCTTGCCTTAGGAACTCGCTAGCTGCATGGCCCTGGGTTTTACTTTTACAGACTCAGTTTCTTTATTTAAAAATTGAAAGAAGATAAATCCAACAGCTTCTAAGATCCCTTTCCAGCTCTAAATTTATGATCTCCTATATGTAATGCTGGACACTGATGATAATCTCCTTGCTGAATCTACTACAAATAGTACATGTCTGGAAGAGTAGGCCCCTCTTTTTATGATATTACATCTATTTTGGTGATTCCATCGGGCAGGGAGCATGGCAATCTGAGCCTATCTGTTGCTAAAACAAAAAAAGAAGACCGTGGAGAGATGTGGAAATGGAGGAGTATGCTTGAGAAAAAACTTGCCAAATTCAAGTGATCAGACTTCCTTCAGCACAAACAGTAATAAAGGTGATTTTCCACACCCAGCATGCGGCCCTGGCTTAAAAACTTGATGATCTCAAGTTGCCAAAGCTTTCATCCCTCTTTCTCACTCAGAGCTCCTCTGCCAAAAGGACGTACTGCATGCACTTCTTCAGAAGCCAGGCCATCTCCATGATTTCATGGAGAGAAATACAAGATACAAATACTCCCAGCTGCTAGTACCTTCCCTTCTAAGGCTACCTACCTTCCATCTATTCTGCGTTTATCTTATATATACTGATTTATATATATGTCATATCCCCATTAGAACATAAGACTTCATAAGGGTAAGGCCTGTTCTTGCCTTTTTTCCCCCGCTCTGAATCCTCAGTGCATGGCACACAGTAAGTGCTTAATAAATGCTTGATAAGGCACTTACTAGTTGTGAGGGAGATCCCTTTGGAAGTTGTATTCACTTTTTCTGTATGTTTATTAGGGTATTGTCTAGATGAGTGCCACAGTTATTTTTTCAGACAAACCAGAAGTACTCAATGTTTCCCCAAGCAGCATGCCAAGACATATTGGGTTTTTTTTTTGTGCTTTTTTTGGTGAGGTAATGGGGGTTAAATGACTTGCCCAAGGTCACATAGCTAGTAAGTGTCAAGTGTCTGAGGTGAATTTGAACTCAGGTCCTCCTGACTCCAAGGCCAGAGCTCTATCTACTGTGCCACCTCATATTGGTCTGTTGACATCTTATCTGGTGGTGTATAAACCAGTTAGGCTTTTCTCCACAACTCTCCCTTTGGCTTCCCTTATCCACAAATTTTTGGTCAATAAAAAGTGTACTTTCTTTCCCCGTGGCAAATCAAGAAATTTACAGGCTTGCCACACAATGCAAAAGGTTGAGAAGCAAGGTGGTGATTATCACCTCTTTTGGTTTACAATATACCTAGTCTTAGAGGAGGAAAAAGTCCCGCCCATCCAATCATATTCCCCGTCCCCAGGAGGTAATGGCACAGGGGAGAGAGTGCTGGGCTTCTTACAAAACAGCAGGAATACGGGTACAGATCTTGTCTCTGACACTTAAACAGTTGTGGCTTTAACTCCCCAGTGTGATAAATGGTAAAAGGATATGAATATTAGTAGAAGAAACCAAACTTTCAATAGTCACATGAAAAAATGCTCTAAATCATTACTGAATAGAGAAATGCAAATTAAAACAACTCCGAGGTACCACTTCATGCCTATCAGATTGGCTAATGTGACATAAAAGGAAAATGACAAATGCTGGAGAGGATGTGGGAAAAACAGGACACTAATGCACTGTTGGTGGAGCTGTGAACTGATCCAACTATTATGGAGAACAATTTGGAACTATGCCCAAAGAGCTATAAAACTGCATACCCTTTGATCCAGTAAGACTACTACTAGGTATGCATCCCAAAGAGATGGAAGAAAAGGGACAAGGACCTATTTGTATAAAGATATTTATAGTAGCTCCTTCTGTGGTGACAAAGAACTGGATGTCCATCAACTGGGGAATGGCTGAACATGTTGTTGGTATATGATTGTGATGGAATATTATTGTGCTATAAGAAGTTATGAGTGGGATGATTGCAGAAAAACCTGGGAAGACTTATATGAACTGAAGCAAAGTGAAGTGAGAAGAACCAGGAGAACATTATGCACAGTAAAAGCAATACTGTAATGATGATAAACTTTCATGAAAGACTTAACTATTCTTAATAATACAAGGATCTAAGACAGTTCCGAAGGACCCAGGATGAAAAATACTTTCCACTTCCAGAAAGAGAATTGATGAAGTTTGAATGAAGAGTGAAGCATACTTTTTTCACTTTCTTTTTATTGTGTTCTTTTACACTGTGGCTAGTAAGGAAATATGTTTTGCATGACTTCACATGTATAATTGATATAAAATTGCCTTCTCAAATAGGAGGAAGGGACAAGAGGGAGGGAGAGAATTTGGAACTCAAAATTTTTAAAAATGACTGCTAAAATTTTTTTTTACATGTAATTAGGAAATATTTAATGAAATAAATAAAATAATTAAAATTTTAAGAAATAGTTATGGCTTTACAAGTCACAGTCTTTTAACCTCAGTTTCCTTATGTGTGATATAGAGATGATAGCACCCACTTCACTGGGACCTCACAGTGGTTTTTGAGGATCAAATGAGATAATGTACTTTGTAAATCTTCAAGTGCTATATAATTGTTAGCTATTATTGTTGTTGTTGTCATTATCATATCAAAAATTATCTTATCAATAGTCAGGTACAGTATGGTGGTACATGCTCTCCTGTGAACCATGCTATGGGGAGGCTGAACCTGGTGAATCACTTGAACTCAAGAGTTCTAAGACGCTGTGGCATAAAGCCAATCAGATGTCCATACCACGTCTGGCACTAATATGGTGAGCCCCTGGAAGGGGAGAAGTGGGGAGACAAATGACACTTAGGCTGCCTAAAGAGGGCTAAACTGGCCCAGGTTGGAAACAGAGCAGGTCAAAGCATCCATGATCAGTAGGACTAGGCCAATGAGTAACTGCTGTACTTCCAGCCTGGGTGAAATAGGAAATCTGAGTCTCCAAAATTAATCGACTAAAAGGGCACACACAGAGGTGACACTGCCACCCATAAGCCAATGGGGTTTTTACTACAGGAACAGCAGGAATCATCCCCTTCGTCCTGGTCCTGCCATCTCTTACTTTTTTGGGGGGGTGGGGAGCAATGGGGATTAAGTGACTTGCCCAGGGTCACACAGCTAGCTAGTAAATGTCTGAGGTTGGATATGAACTCAGGTCCTCCTGACTCCAGGGCCAGTGCTCTATCCACTGAGTCATTTAACTGCCCCCCATCTCTTACCTTTAAGGAGACATCAGCCAGGATGTGGTGGGGGAGCTGGGAGTACATGAGCCCAAGCCCCACAATAGCCTCAAGCTCCCCCAGATCTGCTGCGTGCTCCAGGTGGAAGACGGCTGACTCCTGATCCCAGGGCTGGTCTTTCTCACAAAAGCGTCCCCCTTCATGGTAACGCACCATGGCCAGGTGAACCTGCCACACAGACCACAGTATCAGTGCAGAGGGCCTATGAGGAGGCAGCTTACCAGCTGCATCTAATAAGGTAACTCATCCCCACTGAGATAGTACATGGAAGTCAACCTGCACGAGAAAGTGATTAGCAAAGGAGCGGTTGAGTCTTTAGAGAAATCATTTATGATCAGATTAGTGCTAGATAGGCAGATTCCCCTTGGTGTGATGCAAAAGATTTTTCCCCCTTTTTTCTTTTTCTCAAATGCACATCACCAATACCTTCCCCAAAATGGACTTTCCGATTTTCTTTTCAAGGTCCAGATCATTAAGTCTCTGCATTTCCACAGCAACACAGGATGGCCTCTGGAGATGAAGCCTGGCAGAGTTATAGAGATTCCATTTCTCCACACTGACCTGGAAAAAGAGAATTTAATACAACATTTGAGAGATGCTCAGGGAGTTAATGCATTTCACCTTCACCTGGCTGGTGAAACCTCAGCACAGAAGACACTGCTTCACAAACACCCTGGGGTTAGGATGAGGAAAAGGCAAGCGCTAGGTTTATAGGGCTGTTGCAGACTTACACTACTCTATTCCTAATCACCCTTAACACAGCCACTTCAGCTAACATGGAAAAAGATGGAACATTTTAGCAAATGACAAAAACATCTGGCAAACCTGAAAGCAGCCACTGTATAAAAAGACTACAGACTCGGGACAAGACCAATCAGGGAGCAGCTCCCAAAAAAACCAACACCAAATAAGCATTCTCAATTCTATAACCACTGTTGACTTTCAGCCAATTTCTCTTGTATTCCATGTTTTAAAAATAAGAAATGAACCACCATAAAGGCAATAGCAGTGAAAAACAATTAGCAAGATTATCAAATCAAATTGTAATGGGCTCAATGGAAATCAACCCCATTTTTCTTGGCTACTGTTTGGCCCAGTGGTTAAAAAACAAGATGGACACTTGAAAGGAAAAAGAAACAGTTTATGATCTAGGCCGACAAGTTGGAGAGGCCAAATTTTAGAATGGAACCAGCCTGCTAAGTATGTGCTGGATGAGGTGCAAAAGGTAGGAAGCAACATAGGAAATTAAAATCTCAGGATGGGATCCACTTAAGTCAGTGAGTCCTTGGCAGACTTAAAAATTAACCTGTAGAAGATTAGGTTTATTTCTCACCATTCCCATACACAAACTCTCCACTGGTCTACTCACTGTGCCTCAAATATGCTTTTATTCACAACATTTTCCCCATCTGGAATGCCCTTCCTATATCCATGCCACCCACTCAGATCCTACCCATTCCTCAATACCCACATCTCCTTCCTTTCCTACCAAAATGGGAAACCATCTTTAACTCCTCTTAACTTCCATAGTTCTTAAGCATTTGCTGTCCAGTACTGTTATCTTTTCATGTATCTTATCGCCCCTAACTACACAGTGTGATCCTTAAGGACAGCAAACATGTCACAACTCTTTGTATCCTTCACAGAGCCTTGCTCTGCATGCATATGGTCTCAATAAACACTTGTTACAATACCTTTTCTTCAAGAAAAAGAATTCATGGGGGTAAAAACGATCCAATGGAGAGGTGCCCCTATAAACCAGAGAATGCTAGTCATGTGAAAGGGAGTGCCAATGGATCACACAGCAGATTCCAGTTTACAAAGCACTTTTACACACAGGACAATAAGCAATTCTTTAGGAAGAAATAATGTTATTTACCCTTCCATAACTGCCCAGACTGTCTTCATCAGATTCATACTGTTTCCGGTTGCCATTTGAATGGGCCTAGATAAAGGCAAAGATTTAGATGATTCAAACTATATATCTCTTCTCCTCTTCCTGCCTCCCACCTTCAATGTTCCTTTTGATCTGGAACAGGATGAACCATCCGCGACTGAGGCTTGTTCAAAAAAGCCAAAAAAGCCACGCCTTTTAGTTCTTCCCATCCCCCAAAGAAACCAGATTAGCTGGTTCTCTATCTGAATCACCCCCGGGTAAACCACATTTATTCCTTGATCCAGGGATAATATTCTGTTATTATTTTAACTCTCATCCATAGTTCCAAGATCAGACCATGGAAACCCAGGCTCTCCTAATGATACACCCTCAAGATGGCAGCCACTCTTGGACAAAGCCCTGTCACCAGGATGCCACTGGAGTTGTAATGAGGAACTAGCATAGCCTACCTAGGCTTGTACATTAGATCTGGAAGGGACTGCAGGACTGGCAGTATGGTACAGTAAAAAGAACACCAGCTCTACAGAGGACCTAGTTTCAAATCACAACTCTGACACTTAGTACCTATGTGACCTCAGGCAAGTCACTTGACTTCTCCGTTCAGCTATTCCAGTCGTGTCTGACTCTTCATGATCCCATCTGGGGTTTTCTTGGCAAAGATAGTAGAGTGGTTTGCCATTTCTTTCTCCAGCTCATTTTACAGATGAGGAAACTGAGGCAAACAGGGTTAATGACTGGACCAGGGCTAAGTGTCTGAGGCTGGATTTGAACTCTGGAAGATAAGTCTTCCTGATTCTAGGCCCAGCGCTCTATCCACTGCAACTAGCTGCCCAACTTATCTGGGTGGCCTCAATTGCAATAGGAGAGGATAGGTACCTTTGAGGTCCCACTTCCAGTTCTAGACCTATGATGTTATTATCTAGTCCAGATCCAAAAAACAAGCTTCACATAACAGGGATTCATGTTTTCATGTATATTTTCTCCTTCTGTTTATGTGTGTGTATATATATATATATATATATATATATACACATACATAATTTATATATATATACATATATATATACACACAGACTGCACACATGTATATTGTAAAACAAACAATTTTGAAAGATTTGAGGACTCTGATCAATGCACTGATCAACCATAACTCTAAAGGACCGTAGAACAATGAAAAAGGCTACCTCCCCCTTGACAAAGAGGTGATTGACTAAATATACAGAATGAGACACATATTTTTGGATATGGCCAAGACAGGAATTTAGTTTGCTTGACTGCATATTTGCTATGAGAGTTTTGGTTTTTCTTTTTAATTTTTTTTTAGTGAAGTAAGGGAGATGGGAAAGAGAAAAAAAATAAATACTTGATAACTAAAAAAATTTAACAAAAATAAATAAAAGCAATGCATTTGGAGATGCTAGTTCTATTTGGTGTTTAAGTTCAGAATATATATACATATATATATTTTTTAGCTTTTTGGTGAGGCAATCAGGGTTAAATGACTTGCCCAGGGTCACACAGCTAGTAAGTGTTATGTGTCTGAGGCCGAATTTGAACTCAGGTCCTCCTGACTCCAAGGCCAAGTTCTATCCACTGCGCCACCTAGCTGCCCCTAAGTTCAGAATATTTTTTAAGTGAAAAACAAAACAAAACAAAACAAAAAAAGATTAGTCCAGTTCCTTCATTTTACATATAAGGAAACCAAGGACTAAAGATAAGTGACTTCTGGATTCTATAGCCTGTTCTCCAATTGCAACAAAAAATTTTACTTTTACCTGGGACAAAAACATCTCCCTGACCCCCCTCCCATAAGACCCCACTCTTTTTATTTTCCTGCCAAAAGAGGAAGCAATGAAAGATGCTAGGAAATAAGGGGACAGAACTCTATACTCCCTCCTTTTTCTCCCACAGCCTTGTTCATTTTCTGGGACTCAAACATCGGGCTTTGGCTTTTAGAGCTAGAAGGGAATCTCAGAGACCATTTAGTCGAAGTCTTTTCAAAGTTAAAAAGCTTGGCTTGAGTTGCACTGACTGTGAATGGCAGTCTGGTCTCCTGACCCAAACACAAAGACTGCAATCAGAGGCTCCCACGTGCCCTGACGTGGGTCAGCAATGGATTTCAGAGGGGAATGGGTGAGAGAGCTAACTCTGAAATAAATAGTCCCTTTCCTAGTCTCTGCCCAGAAAGCACTGCAACAGAGAATCATCACTACAAAAGAAGAGGGTAGTGCTTGGTCAGAGGAGTATTTGTCCAGGTTGGCTCTGATTAATGATGAAGGAGGGGGAGGAAAACCCCACCTAAAAAAAAGGAGATATCCTCCACCTTTTCATGTTGTTTCTTCCAAAAGGGGAAGGCTTTTAGCTTAAGGAAGACACATCAATGGAGTAACCCAATCTTTCAGGAAATAGAAAAATTTTTGAGAGCAGTCATCTCTCTATTCATATGCACAGGATAAGAAGGAAATAGCAATCCACAGGGCGACAGGCGATTTATAATTCCATACCCCAAAAGGCTTCCTTACCCTGTCTCGGGGATCTATGTCTTCCAGTTCATTCCTCTTTTCACTGGGGTATCCACTGTCTCCACCATTCTCAGAATCCTGTGGAGACAGGATGGCACTGATGTTCATGGAAATCTTACGGTGGAACTCCAGGAAGCACTGGTTACCTTGGGCAGGCTTAGCATTGTGCACCTCATTGTGCACATTCAAGGCACTGTGTACCCCCCTGAGCCAATAAGGGTATCTTCATCCATTTTACAGATCAAGAAGTCAAGGCAAGTTAAAAAGATACAAAAGAATCTTTCTTACTTATATCCAAGTCACATGTAACATAAAGAGTTGAGAAAAAAATATGGAAGCCCTGGCAATGCATTCACCATTTTCAACCCTGCACTATATTTCAGAGAAACCTGGGAGGACGTATGAACTGATGCAGAGTGAAGCAAAAAAGAACCAGAATAATTTGTGCCATAATAGCAACCCTGTAAAGACAAATAACTTTGAAAGACCTAAGAACTCTGATTAACACAATGACCAACCACAAATCCAGAGGGACTCATAATGAAACATATTACCCACCTCCTAACATAGAAGTGATGGACTCAGAATACAGATTGAGACATATCTGTTTTTTGACATGGCCAATGTGGGGATTTGTTTTGCTTGACTATATGTTAGCAATAGGTGTTTTATTTATTTATTTTAGCTTTCTCAACTGGAGTAGGATGGCAAGGCAGGAGGTGGGAAGGAAAGAATGTAGGTATAAAAATAAAATTTAATTACTCCCAGCCTATAGGCTGTATGTTTGTAGGGGTCTATGTGTAGTATGGACCACATCTGTAGGTGTGCTTGATAACTCCATATGCTACCAGCTGACACTGGGCAGTCACGATGGTGACTGTCCTGCATTATAGCACTAGGTATACAGGTTGAAGATTATCAAACAATAACTGCTGTGTCTAGCTGAATTAAAACTATGTATGAATCTTATACACAAAAAAGAAGATTGCTGCTGATCTGAAGCATATTACCAGCTCATGTCCCTGGACCTTTTCTAATGGGCTTAATTCTCCCCTCCTGGCTATATGTAGAGTATAATAAACCTGCCATCCTTTTGTTTCAGAGGGAAAAAAACCCCCAACAAAAACCCTTCTATTACCATTTCTGCAAGAATTTGAGATAAACACCTCCCTTTCTCCTGTTTATGATCCCTAGCCCCTCCCCCTGACACAGACACAGAAAGTCGAATATACATATACATTAATGGAGCATGGATGTTCATTGCTTTAAAAGTTGACCTTTCACGCTCAATTTGGAGACCTAGGTTGACTAATTTTGCATCTGAAGAGTTATAACCTGGTTCTTTATTCACTTGACTTATTCCACCCCCACTCCTTGTCCTTCTCTACTCTATTCCTGCTCCTTACCCCTCTGGTCTCAGACAACATCTGGCTCCTTGAACGGCTTCCACAGACTACTCAGAATCTGGCTGTTTATTTGCCAAGTGGTCATACTCACTCGACGGTTATCCAGGTGGTCATGGTCTTTGTGCCCCAGGTTATCAATGTCACTGAATTGTGGCCAGTCTAGGAAGGGAAGAATGAATGAATGAATATGCATGAAAAAGCACTTATTATGTGCTTAGTATGTACAAAGCACTGTGATAAGTGATGGATATACAAATAAAGAAATAAGAGAATTTCTGCTGCTCTCATGGGAATTCACATTCTTATGAGGGGAGAAAATTTAGAAGAATTTCAGGTGTAAGTCATATGGGGAAGCCCAGGGGTCTTTCCAATGACAAGTAACTGGAGTTAAGCTTCCCAAAGAAATCACATATGTCATAGAAGTGGTGATGGCAAACCAAAATGTGTGTGAGGGCCTAGGCACAAAACTCTAATGAGGCACCTCTCTTTCAAAGAATTTTTAAACCATGACGATCCTTAAGATTGAAGTTGAAAGGCAGTTTGGCGTAGCAGATAGACAGCTGGCCTTGGAATCGGGGAGCCCTGGCTTCCAGTGCTGCCTCTGACATGAGCTCGCTGTGGAATCATGGCCAAGACACTCAACCTCTTGGGGCTTCAGGCAATTCTCTAAAACTGTAAGTTATAGAGAGGCTGACAATCTTCATCAGCGGAATGTGGAATTACCACCAGGAGTTCCCTCTTGTATCTCCCCACCCCCCAAAGTCCTTTGACACTGTAGGAGTTTAAGAAAAAAATGTCAGAGAACAGAAAACTCGTCTGCAAAAAGCATAAGTAAATGGGATTTAATGGTCAAAGGATGTTTCATAGCCAGTAATGATTAACTAATGTCTGAATCTTGTCTTGAAGATAGGACAAAAACAAAATTGGCTTAATATTCCAACATGGCGAATTCAAATAAGATTTTAGGAGATCACAAAATTATTTAGCCTGCTTTTGACTCAGCTTTCCCATATGTAAAATGGGAACTATAGCATCACCACAGTTTTTGCAAGGATCAAATGAGATACTATACAGGGCATCCCAAAATTCTTACTATAGTTTAGACTTTTGGGACACCTTGAATATAAAAAGTTTTTGCAAATCTCAAAATACTGCATGTGCCAGCTATTATTGTTATCATTATGTATGTGGCCTTATTCTATTGTTCTGATATTTATAGCTTAAAAAACCTGATCATATAATAATAAAGCCTTCAAGACTCATTTAGCACAAACCCCGTGCAGTACTTCCTCCCAGCCATTCTCACTGCCTGGAAACCCCCCAGACAGAGGCTTAACACACAGTCAGAATTGTGACTTACGGATGTGGTCTATCCTCTGGCTATGTGGTGTGAATGAAGGAGAAGAAGGAAGGGAGTCAAATGTCACATCACTCATATTTTCATCTCCAGAGTTCTCTGAAAGGCGGGAAAGCAGTGGTGGACGGCTCCCTGAGAAAGTCCTCACCCTTGGGCTGCCACACTTTTCCTCTGTGCCCCTCACAAGGGTCTGGGCTGATTGCTTGGCAAGAATGTCAAGGGGGAAAAAAACACATCACATACAAAATTGGAAATACCTTCAAAGTCTTTCCCCTATAACACTAAACTCCCTAACAGTTGACATCTCCATGTACTCCCTTTAATGGATGACAAATCTAAAGTCCATTCATTCTTGGCTTCTGGAAATGACCCCAAATAAATTTTCTGTGTGTTCCCTGGAGTTTTATAGCAAATGCCTTTCAACCATCATATCCTGGGCATGTCATACTCATGAAGAGAGGCAGGTCACCTTTTATTATCCTTAACAGAATCTTAAGTCAAGATTCTCCAACATTTTCTAGTAGTCTATATAATATTTGTAATTAATATTAAAGGAGACATTAGGTCAAATAGAATTCCCCTTCTCCATTTACTTAGGCCACTATAAACCTACAAAATTAACATACCCCAGGCATACTCTCTCCTCCATGATCAACACCAATTATTCCAAGTCTATCACCCCTCTGGTCAAAAACTGGTCAAGAACAGAGAATGCTAGGTTGGTTGTCACAGTACCCAGAGGAGACCTCAGGGTCTGTGACACACCAGTGGCTTGGCATGCTGACAACGTCCCAAGCTGTGTAACGGAGAGCACCTACCAACAACTTAGTGTTCTGATTGACAGCATCCTTCTCCTTTGGTGAGAGGTCAAAGGGAGTAAGGCCCATGCTCTTGCAAATCCGGTTGCAGGCATGAGAATGGAAGAACAAGGCCATGCCTCGCACACCTATGAGCAGAAAGCCCACAGCAATGATTCCCACAGAGAAAAATCAGAGACAATCGCCCTACCAGACCTTACCCCCAACCCTATATCTGGGCCAGTCCTTTTCCCTCTTTTAAACCTTTGGGGAAATAATTTAATCAACTTTGGAGTGAGCCCTGGGGCAGAGGTGACCTGGCCAAGGGTAAACCCTTCCAATATACCTCAGCCCTCTATAACCAATTTGGACTTGCCTCCACACTTCACATCACTCACAGGGATCAAAAAATCATATCAATGTTATCTTTATTCCTGTGAAAGACAGGACAATTTATTGTCCTGTGGCCCCACTCTGACTCCTGGTGATTCTGAGACACAGACTGACTAGGCCAAAGTTCCTAGTTCTCTCATGTTCATCCATGTTAGCCCATCCACATAGTGACCCTATTACTCTCTTTCTGTGCCTTCTGGAATCCCTGCCCTATTGTTAACAAACTGACAATCATTTTAGACCTGGGCCCTCCTCCCTGAAGTGACTTTGCATACGTTTTTGTATTTACTTATCCGTGTATATGCTTGTATCCCCGCAATGGAATGTAAGCTTCTTGAGGACAGGGACTGTTTTGATGTGCCTTTGCATTTGCAGAGTCTAGCCTAGCACATGACGGGCATTTAAATACTTACTGAATTGAATTGCTTTCTAAGACTAGACTACTATTATGAATTACTGGAGTACAAGGGGCAAAGGGAAGAAGATAAGAGTGCCAAGTCTGAAGTGAGAAAGATCTGTGTTCAAATCCAGCCTCAGACACTGAGACCTTGGTCAAATCACTTAACCTCTGTTTGCATCAGTTTCCTCATCTGTAAAATGGGGATAACAATAGCATAACCCATCAGCCAGGGTTGTTGTGAGGGTTAACTAAGAATAATTGTAAAGTGCTTAGTACGGTGCCTAGCACATAGTAAGCAATACATAGAAATTAGCTATTGTTGAAATAAACCAGGATGTAACAGAGGAAGCAGAGGCAGGGGAGTCAGATGTGAGGTGTGGCCTGGCTTTGAACTGGAATTAGCCTTGTTTACCTGCTGGGCCTCAGTTTCATCATCTATAAAATGAGAGGACTGGGCTAAATTCTTTCAAAAGTCCCTTCTGGGGCAGCTAAGTGGTGCAGTGGATAGAGCACTGGCCCTGGATTCAGGAGGACTTGAGTTCAAATCCGTCCTCAGATACATAACACTTATGAGCTGTGTGACCCTGGGCAAGTCACTTAACCCCATTGCCTAGCCAAAAAAAAAAAAAAGACAAAAGTCCCTTCCAACTCAGTTCTTACAACACACCCAGTACATAGCGTTCAGGGAAACACGTTTGGTGGAAATTTACACTGTTTCCTGACCTACCTAGGTTGCCATCTCCGAAGTCTGAACCCGTCTCTGTATGGATCTGTGGGTCAGTGTACAGATCTCCCACTCCCTGAATGTCCACCACAATCAGTTGATGGCCAGAACGTTCAAAGGTGAAGTGGCTAAAGGCCTGGGGGAGTTGGACAAGAAATCAACACAAAAGGTAAGAAGCAGCCTGGCTCTGGGACACAGTGACATTTCTGTTCATTTCCTCTGGCTCTGCCCTTGGCAGAATGATTCATTTAAAACAGCCCAATTTAACATAATAAGGGTTGCCAATGTGTCTGATCTATAAAGGCCTATCTCTGAACTTTAGGACGTGGGTTCACCAACTTTAATAGATCTCTCTGGGAGGAACCTGATGTTTAGCCCCAATGGCTTGTCAAATAACATAAATGGAGAACAAAGGCACTGCATTTAAAATGATTAGATGTGAAGTTTGATGAAGGATGAAAGACCCATATACAGGTGGGTGCCCTGGGAGGATTTTACTCATTAACATGGGAAAAGGAGTTGGCTTCAGACTAGCTGAATTTCATTAGAACAAATAAACATGGATCATGTGGATAAGAAAGTTCAGATTTAGTATCTGGATTAAACAACAAAACAAAACACCATCCTCAGTATCTTCCCCGATTAAAATAGAATTTGATAATGCCCTGGCTAAATTTCAACCTGGCGAGATAATATCTAAAGGGAACCCTCAGAGCCTGGAGTACAAACCATCAGATGTGCTTCAGTCTCACCTGTGGGGTTAGGCGGATGTTGTCATCCCGGACGAAACCCGAATTGGAATTGTACTTGATGTATTTGCCCTCAATATAGTGTTCCAGGTGAAAAAGGGGCTTGTCTGCTCGGTCCTTCAACTCGATGATGCACATCTGCATAATATCCACCTGGCAGAGAGGGTGGACAAAGGAGGCAAATCAGCATCCATCCCTCTTCCCACCTGCAGAGTGAGGTCTGGGTTCTCAGGCCTTGGCGTGAATTCACCACTGACTGAGACGCAACATGAGCTCAGTCCCTGGGGCCTCCCTTGCTCCATGAACAAATGAGTATTACATTCAACCTACTCCTACTCCTTTTAAAATGAAATTTTTCCTTTATAATTCAAAATCACAAAATGTGATTAATAATAATAGCTAGCATTAATAGAACACTTTAAGGTTTGCAGAGCACTTCACAGATTTTATCTTATTTAAACCTCACAATCCTGGGAGGCAGATGATATTATTATCATCCCCATCGGACAGAGGAGGAAAGTGAGGCAGACAGAGGTTAGAGGACTTGTCCAAGGTCACAAAGCTAGCAGATGTTTGAAGCTAAATTAGAACTTGGGTCTTCCTGACTCTAGGTCCAGCACTCCACTATAGTACCTGGGAGAGCTGAAAGGGACCCAAAGGCCATCTAGCCCTTCCTCTCATCCTTTACTTCTATAGATGAGGAAACTAAGGCACAGAGAGAGGTAAACTGACATACTCTAGGTCACTTGGCTAGTAATTGGCAGAGCTCAAATTTAAACTTCGGCCTATGGTTCCATGTCCGGCTAGATGATGAAGTGGATAGGGCTGTGGGCCTGGAGTCAACAAGACCCGGGCTCAAATTCAGTCTCAGACACGTTAGCTGTATGACACCACGCAAGTCACTTAACCTCTGCCTCAGTTTCCTCAACTGTAAGATAGGGATAATAATAGTACCTACCTCCCAGGACAGTTGTAAGGATCAGATGAGATAATATTTGTAAAGTACTTAATACAGCATCTGTCACATAATAGGTGCTTAATGAATATCTGTGTGCTTCCTTCTTTCTTATTTTCTATTATGCTACATTCTTGTTCTTTATTCTTCCCCCCCCCGCCCCCTTCCCCATTCTTGAATCTATTCACTAGCCCAACACTGAAGGTGGTGGCTTGGGGTGAGCCGGCACACCTGCTTGGGAGGTTTGTGTCGGTTATATTCCTCGCCCCAGAGTTTGGCCTCCATCTGCAGGCGCACATCCTCAAAGTACACGTCTCTGTTCACAGGCTCGAGGTACCTCTTTGCCACATAGTTGGAAGCACCTTTCCAGTGTTGAGTGTGCAGGAAATTAGACAGCTTTTTCCTGAGGGGGAATAACAGACAAGGAAGTGGTCTGGAGCCCCAGGGCCCAGTCGAATCCAAGGCTTTGTAAGGGACCGTCCCCTAGTCCCTTTCATAGACCAACCTCAGCAGCCCCCTGTGACTGCATTTTCAAAGCCAAATGGTGTGGACTCCAGGGCCTCACAGATCTCCACGAACAAAAGGAGAGGGGCTAGTGTTTCCCTCTTTAAAATTGAGTTCCCAATTGGAGACCTCCCCTTGCTCAGTGCCATTTCCACAGCCAGCTGATGAGGTAGCCCCACTTTCACTATTTCCATGAGGCTGGCAAATTCTGTCTATGGATCACCCCCTCTCCTCAAGAACTGACTCACAGTCCCCCAGAGTGTCTGGGGTTAGTCAGTCAGTCAACAAAGCATTTATTAAATGCTTACTGTGGACCAGGCAGTGTGCTAAGCTTTGGAGATACAAAGGCAATAAACACTGCCCTTACACTCAAAGAGCTTACATTTTAATGGGGGACATAAGAAAGGCAATACACATTGTCCCTGCCCTCAAGGAATTTACATTCTAATGGAGGAAATGACTTGTAAATAACTAAATGTATACAAGATAGATACAGAACTGAAGGAAGAAAATCTCAAAGGGTAAGGCACTAGCAGCACCTTGTGGGGCCAGGGAGGTAGGGATAGTGAAGGGGGCAAGACCCGGAAAGGCCTCTTACAGAAGACAGGATTTGAGTTGAGCCTTAAAGGAAGCCAGGACAAATCAGGAAGTAGAAGCAAGGGGGAAGCCCATTCCAGTTATGGGAACGTGGAGTACAAAGGCAAAGAGATGGGAGGCTGTATTCAAGTAGGCCAGTGGAGGTGGAAGAAAGAATTCATGGAGGGGAGTAAAGTATAAGAAAATTGTAAATATAGGACAACAACAGGTTATTAAGAGTTTTGAGGAAAATAAAAGACCCCATACACCCCACCTCCAAGAGTGACAAAGTCTGAGACCAGAGCAATATCCCCAAGTTCTGCTCTCTTTCCCCACTCCTCATCTTCATCCCTAACCAGATTAAGTTCTACTGAGGAACTCCAATCTGAAAGAAGTCTGGCTAAATGGATCTCTTGCCTTTATGTCTTCATCAATTGGAAAGAAATCTGGAATACCAGTACACAGTATGGCCTTTTAGGATGAGGGGGAAGAGGGAGAGGGATGAGCTCTGGTCTGGTTGCAAAGCATCTAGTTTGAGCCACTTACGTCCTGAAACATTCCCGCATTGCTCCACGTCCAAAGGGCTGCAGACAAAATAGAGTGGATTCACTATTAATTGTGTGAGCAACCATTCTCTTCCCAGGATTAATCGTGGTGAGCTATGCCAGAAATCTAAGACTTGGTATCACCCATGCCCCTTCTGTCCCCCACCCCAATCAAAGACACTCCCTCAAGCAACCTCCTCGCCAACTCCAAGACCTTTCAGATCACCCCTCCCTCCTCTATCCCCTCCCATTTATGTCCTTCAAGGGCTGAAGTCTATTCAGTTGAGACTGGAATCTCCTAAGAAGAAGATGGATATCTGATCTCTTCTCCCACAGAGGACTTCAGAGAAGGTGTACAGTAGGCTAAATCTTGGGGGAAGGCTAGAGTAGGGAGAAATGTAGGGAGAGACAGAGAAGGGCTGCTATTGGTTTAAGTGGGATGAAACGTTGAATGGAGGAGGGTAGACTAACAAATACCCAGGACCAGTCCTGTTCCCATAGATGCCAAGAAAATAAACTCTTGACAACTCTTACCTGTGATGCCATCTTGATTAAAACTTCATCTTCGACCCATTCCCCAGTGACTGCATTGTACCTGTGAACACAGAATTCATGGCCAGAGTGACTATCACTAAAAAGGCATCATCCTTTGACTCAGGGCCTCTCTTTTGCCCTGTCTAGCTAACTCAGACAAATAAGCCTGGGCCCATAAAAGTCCAGCAAAATCAGGCTGTCATATGCTATAAAACTTTCTTTTTATCTATCTATAATTTAATTTTTTCAATTAAAAAATCTATTTTCTCTTCCTTCTACTTACCCCACAACCACCTTGACACAGAAAGAAAATAAAGCCTTTGTAACAAATATGCTTAGTCAAGCAAAACAAATTCCCCCATTGGTCATGTCCAAAAAAAAATCAGACTCTACAAAAATTTTAATCAAAACTAAAAATCTGTTTTATGTACCTGGTCTGCAGCACATCCCTGAGAGGCGAGTAGGCTAAAAATCAGGAGATATGGGCTCACTCATAATAATAGCTAACATTTATATATTATTATTTCTATATTAAGGTTTGCAAAGTACTTTACAAATCTCTTCTCACTTGGTCCTCCCCCAACAGCCCTGTAAGGGAAGTGTTGTTATTATCTCTACTTCACCTATGAAGAAAATAAGATGGATAGAGTTAAGTGACTCATCTAGGGTCACAGCTAATGTCTGAGGCCAATTTGAACTCAGGTCTTCCTGACTCCAGGTCCAACACTATGATGCTGCCTCACAGCTGCCTCAACAAAGTGAGAACTAGTTCCCAGTGCTGGTCCTCTCTGAACCTCAGAGTCTTCATCTGGAAAATGGGGGAAATGATATCTATATAATCCACCTCATAAAACTATATATGTATCAAATGAGATAAAGCAAAATTGTTGCTTAATGTTGGGGTATGTGTACATGTAAAAGTAATTATATGTTTTGAGCTAGGAACTAGCACACATTAATATCTGATTTTCACTATATAAATCCTTAAATGACTTAAAAGATTCCAAAGCACTTTACAAAGGTTATCTCATTTTGCCTTCAGTAAGTACAAAAAAATTTCATAAATGACGACTCTGTCGCTCAAGAGGGGCAAGTGACTTGCCCAAGGGGATCACACGTTAGCAAGGAGCAGAGCTGGAACTTGTTTGAATGACTGGAGGCCCCAAAGAATAATCATTAATGGAATAAGGCCATCTCGGAGGCTTTACTCTCTAATGGATCTGTCCTGGGCACTGTGCTGTTTACCATCTTTATTTTATTTCCTGAATGGGAAGAAGACGCATGTGGTAAGCTTATCACTTTAGCGATGACAGAGAGATCTGAAGGATGTTGGATGACAGCATCAGTTGAAGCCAAGAGGCTGCAACATATCCAACAGGCTAAATGTCTCGCTGACCTAAACATACGTGAAGTTTAATAGTTATAAATAAAGTCCTTAATGGCTATAAATAAAATCCTACACTTGTGATGAAAAAAATCAATTTTGCAATTATATGATGGAAAGGTGTGTCTACAGAACAGCTCAACTAAAAAAAAATTTGGATGTTTCAATGGGCTATGAACTCAATCTGGGCCAACAATGAAATATGGCAGCCAGAAAAGATAATAGCAAAGTGACCAGACCATGAGGGGTGGTGACCCTGCTGTATCCTGAGCCCAGAAGAGACCACACCTGAACCAGGAAGCTCAGTTCTAGGCACCTCATTTTAAAAAGGGCATGATAAGAAAAGAGACAGGAAATCGAGATGGGCTGAAATTGAGATCAGATTACAAGATAATTAAATGGGGGAGGGAAGAGAGAGACATAAAAGCTATCTCTTTTGTACTGATTCACTTTAAATTTATGCTGTATAATTTTTATATTTATGTATGGTCTTCCTAATTAAGAAAGTAAGCTTCTGGGGTAGCTGGGTGGCACAGTGGATAGAGCACTGGCCCTGAAGTCAGGAAGACCTGGGTTCAAATCCATCCTCAGACCAAACACTTGACACGTATTAGCTGTGTGACCCTGGGCAAGTCACTTAACCCCAATTGCCTAAAAAAAGAAAAAAAAGAAAAGAAAGTAAGCTTCTCTTGAGATTGTTTTGTTTTTTTGTACCTGTAGCCCCAGCAGAGTGCTTGGCAGATTTTGTTGTTTCAGTTGGTGACCCCATTTGGGGTTTTCTTCCCAAAGATACTGGAGTGGTTACGACTTCCTTCTCCAGCTCATTTTACAGATGAGGAACTGCTTAATAAATACTAATTTACTGATGGATTGATTCAAGTATCGGAAGGATTGGACCTGTTCTGCTTTGTTCCAAGAGGCAGAATTAGGAGCAATGGGTAGAGGCTGAAGGAAGGTAGATTTAGGCTTGATAGAAAGAAAAACTTCCTAACAAGTAGAATCATCTCTTCCCCCTAGGTGATTGGCTACTGTGAAAGGTCGACCTCATGAGAGGTCTTCAAGCAAAGACTGTGTGATTTCTTGCTGGGAATACTACTACAGAAGGGATTCTCATTCCGGTACAGATTGGATTTGGGAGCTTTTGTTGGACTGATTCAGCCCTGAGATGTTTTGAGTCCAGGTCCTCTGATTCTAAACAGTTACTCCTTCCACAAAACCAGGCTGTCTCTCTGAAAAAAGGAACCTAATCTAGGGGTGTGCTGGAGCCCGCTCAAATGGTGAGAGCCTGATGGTGAAATTTTTAGTGTGAGCATTTATACCTCAAAAAGTGGCCAACTCACAGATTACGGCTTAATTTTTGATTTTCTAAACTTAAGAAAGTATTAATAATACAGAATAAACTTAAAAGTGTCCAGCAGGCATCCATTTCCCTCTTTAGATCTGGTTGTTAAAGCATTTGCCAGCCCATCATCATCATCATCATCATCATCATCATCACTGTCAACCATCATCATCGTTTCTCTCTGTCTCTGAACATACAATATATACACAAGACGACTTATATACAATATATACACGACTTCTCAGATAGGAACCAAATCCTTTCATACACAGGCCGATGGCATAATGTAGGTTTACTTGCAATTCATTAAAAGCACTTTACAAAGACAGAAGCATTATATGGAGGCACATGAGGCAGCTAAGTGACTTAGTGAATACGACTCTGGATTTTTAGAGTGAGGAAGACATAGGTTTGAATTTTTAGACACTCACTATCTGTTTGACTCCAGGAAAATCAGTTATGCTGGCTCAGCCTTAGTTATTTCATTTGTAAAAAGGAGTGCTCTTAACCTTACAAGGTTGCTGTGAGGATCAAAGTAAAAGTGCTTTGCAAACCTTAAAGCAATACAGAAACATTATTTTTATCATTATTGTTAAATCATGTTGTTAAATCATAAATAAATATTGCTAAATATTGTTAATAAATATTGTTAAATCATCATTAATGGGTCTGTCAGACCAGGATATACCATTCCATCACTGACTAAGGTCCTTCAAATTCTTAGGGAGTCTTCAGCTCTCAGATGCTAATTCATTTTGGCTGTGAGCCCGATTTGGGCTTCATTCAGACAGGTTGGTCAGGGGAAAAAGAACCTCACAACATCTAACACCACCCCAGGAACTCACTGTTCTCAAACCTAGTACAAAAACCACACCCTTGTTTCCCTCAGGAAAGACCCAAAACACTTCTTTCTCCACTCAAATAAGAGCTTGTTATTGGGAATTTTGGGCCAGAATTACAGCTTAGGAATTTTTTGGGGGGGTGGGGGGTGTTGGGGCTTTTTTTTCTTAATAGGTTTCTCCATTTTAGCCAAAAATGCTAGATTGGAGGAAAACACTTAGATGCACAGTTGAGAAAACTCCCTGAATCACTGAGAACAGAAGGACCCCAAAAATCCCTACCAAAAAGCCTTAACAGAAGATCTCCTATTCACAGAAGGAAGGCCAGAAAGAATTCCAGACAAGTAGTATAGCTTTGAAAGTTATACATGGAACAATGAAAATCATGATCCCAGAGGACTGATGATGAAACATGCTACCTACCTCCTTCTAGATAAATGAAGAGCCTAGGGTACAGAAGGAGACCTACATTTTTTGGGAGGGTTCATGGAAATAATAGGAATTTGTTTTGCTTAATTATGCATACTGGCTATAAGGGTATCTTTTCTTTTTTTAAGAGGAGGTGAGAGGGAGAGAAAATCAATTTTTGTTCATTGAAAGTTACATATTGATTACATATTTGAAAAGAAGAGCAAGCTTTCCATAATAGAGATTCAGTTTCATAGCCAGATCTCTCTTCTCTTTCTCTTCTCCTCTCTCTCTCTCTCTCTCTCTCTATATATATACACACACATATATATGTGTGTATATATATACACACACACACATATATGTATGTATATATATGCACACACACACACACACACATATATGTATGTGTATATATATATACACACATATATATGGATGACAATGCTTATTTTGATCCAGAGGCAGCATGACCTTGGGCAAATCAGTTGGTCAAGTCTCAGTATTTCCCCATCTTTAAAATGAGGATAATAACACCTATAATACTTATCTTATGGGACTCATTCAGATAGGTAAAGGGAATGGACGTGTCATTTCAATGGCTTAATGAACTCTCTAATGAGGAAAACTGCTAATGCAGGTCAGCAAATTCTCTGAAACATAAAAAGTCTTTGAGAGTTGCCTAGAGCCCTGAGAGGTTAAGTTACAAGTCCAGACTCTATCCACAAGGCAACACTGCCTGGGAAATCTATCATTATTCTGACATTCTCCATTTTAAATTGCTGGATTCTAAACATGTTAAGAATATCTGCTGCATCTAGGTTACTTCCTAAAGTCCATAATCACTTTTAGAGAAAAAAAATATTTTTTCATTCAGAACTTATAGTTGTTCAGTCTTTTTTCAGTTGTGTCTGACTCTTTGTGACACCATTTGGGGTTTACTTGGCAAAGATACTGGAGTGGTTTGCCATTTCCTTTTCTATCTCATTTTCCAGATGAGGAAACTGAGGCAACACACAGTTAGTAAGTATCTGAGACCAGATCTGAACTCAGGAAGAAGAGTCTTCCTAACTCCAGGCTTGGCGCTC